ACTTACTATGACATACTACTCTGATAAATTTTTTGAATAATTTGATAAGGTCTTTGTTACAATACGGTAGTAAGTTTTCCTACCGATAATCTTTTAATAACATGTGTATTATTACTGTTTTGATCAACCACGTTTTATCGCGATGAATCAAACATTAAATCCTATCAAAATGATTACCGTAATAATATATATATGGCGCATAACTGATATCGTAAAAATGGTGATTTATGAAAACTCTTCCACTAACTTCTGCCAACTTATGTCAACTTCTGTCAAGTTACTTTTGAGCAATCTTTATTTCTCTAAAGTTTATAATTTGTAACAAAGCGTATGAGAATAGTCGAACACGTTAATCTAATAAAGCAGCGATAAAAATGCCAAAAGTTGAAAGAGACACTGGAAACAAAAACAGGATAACGCCTTACCATAGCACACCAAGGTAGAAATATATTTTAACATTTATCTTTGATTGTTATTATAATCAGGTAATAATAAATAGATTGTATTGTAAGTATTAATAAGATATATATATATAAACAAACATTGCTTAGGCATATCGAACAAGTTGTCCTTTCTGGTGCAAAAAAATCTACATTATCACCTCCAAAAGATCATTTAATATCAAATCCATTTGACGAGCCATTAATGCCGTTAACCAGGAAAGAGATTATGGATTTGTTAAGGTCAGAAGAATTACTTGATTCAGCGGTTCAAAATGATAGCATATCGCGCGGCAGCGAGTATACACCATTTATGTGGCAAGTCGATTATTTCTTGACACTGCTTGAAAAGTACGAAGGGAAAGCGAAACAGAGCTCAAGAAATTTAATGTTCAATCATTTGAACCACGTTAACGGTAATAAATCAGAAATGTCGAAGACGAATTTATGGCCTCCGGGTATGCCCAAACATAAAGAGGGAAGGTAGATTTTATGAATTGACGCGTAACTTGAAGACTGGTATAGGTAAATGTTGAGTTGAGCATATATATTTTTAATGAATAATATCATTTATTTTCAAAAATAATATATTATGATTTTTTAGATATGACGCGCCTTATATCATTACATCAGAATCAATATGTTTTCTTATAGAGGTCCAAGGTCTAAAATTAACAATTTATATAAAGATGCTTTTCATTTTACAAGACTTCAAAGTATTCGAAGTTTGTACGTGTATAAGATTAATATTTCGATTAGCTACTTTCTAAAGAAATATTTCGCTCTGGCGAAATAATTTCAGCTTAACTCACAAATTTGTAGTAATTATTTCGCTAATTTGAACAATTTCACTCGGGAGAAATATTTCGAATTCGCCTGAAACACAATGTATGATATATTAATCGCGTCAACTAAAACTGGTACAGATTTTTTTGCTTGTGAAATATCTAAATAATTAAGATAATGACGCCCGAACAACTTCCGTGGAACCTAAAAAATCGCTTTCATTCGAGCTAAATCTTTTAATATTGCAATTCTATTACATATGCGAATTAGAGGACGCGTTTTCGCGAAATATGCCAAGAAAATTGACTTTGAAATTTCAATATTCTCTGTGTAAAAATCTGATTGGTCGATCATAGTATTTAATTGATAATCAAGTTTAAAGTTAACGTTAATCAAAGCTCGAATTTCTAAAAAATGCAAACTACAATTACTTTACCGGCAGCTTGTGATTTTCATATTCACACGCGTCAAGGTGTTTTAATGGAAATGGTAGTTCCACGAATCGCTGAAGGTGGTGTTTCGTTATGCTATGTCATGGTAGAAAATTATGCTCTCGATTTCAAAATTTCTTACTCAGAAGCAAATGATAACAATTCACTATCAATCATGCTAGCCAAATCTTAAACCACCAATTACTTCCGCAGAACAAGCACTTGCATATAAAGCTCAACTTCAAAAACTTGCACCAAATGTCACTTTTCTTATGAGTTTGTATTTATGTCCCGAACTGACTCCTGAAGAAATAAGAAATGCAAAAAAACACGGAATTGTTGGTAATATACAAAAGTTAGTGTTTCTTATATCTTTGGATTTTATATGGATACAATAGGTTAACCATCTGTTTATAGGTGTTAAATCTTATCCAAGAGGGGTTACAACAAATTCAGAATCAGGCATCGAATCTTATTCTATTTATTATCCGGTTTTTAAAGCAATGGAAGAGGTTGGGATGGTCTTGAATCTTCATGGTGAACTTCCAAGTGATGCTGATCAGGTTTGTTCATTTAATATCTCATTCGTGTTTAATGAATTATACAAGTACATTATATTTTCGATTTAGGATATTTGTGTTATGAATGCTGAAGAAAAGTTTTTGGTTCATTTGAAACAATTACATAACGACTTTCCAAAATTGAAAATAGTCCTGGAACATGCTACTACCAAAGCGGCTGTTGATATGGTAATTTATTAGTTTATATTTATTAAAATTCTTTTAGGTTATTTATTAGCTTTTTTTATTAATTAGGTAAAGTCTCTTGGGGATACTGTTGGTTGTACTATTACTATACACCATCTTCAAGTTATTGTAGACGATTGGGCTGGGCAATGTCATAATTTTTGTAAACCAGTTGCTAAATTTCCTCATGATCGTCAAGCTTTGCGTGATGTTATCCTTGAAGGTATTTATTGAACTCTGTGTTAATACATGAAGTTATGTTATTATTGTTAATTTACTGTATCATTTTAGGTCATCCAAGATTTTTCTTGGGTACTGATTCGGCACCACATCCTGCTTATCTCAAAGAATGCTCCCATTCTTGTGCTGGTGTATTTACAACTCCTCTAGCAATTCCATATCTTGCCACAATCTTGGATTCGTTCGGTGCAATTGATTGTTTAAAAAATTTCGCATGTGAAAATGGCAAGAGATTTTATGGTGTTAGTGAGGAAGAAGGCAAATGTCGCAAGATTACATTGATTAAGGAAACTTCATTAGTCCCTAATTCATATTCTTTCGATGAATCTCTTGAAGAACGTCAGGGTTCTGTTGTCCCATTTTTTGCTGGAAAAAATTTAACTTGGAAGA